GTTTAATCTATATTCCATTAATAGAACCTTTGTTACATTAAAAAGTGAATTTATATAAAAAAAAGTTGTTTTATTTTATCATTGTTTATTAGTAATCTATTGTTTCCTAATTTATTTATTTTTGTAAAATACAACATATTATTCATCTTGCTATTTAAACCTTTTTTGAAAACTATTTATTTATAGATCAATTAATTAAAGAGAGTAAATAATTAAATGTTTAATAAATACTCTTTAACTTTTTAATCAGCAAATCTAGAATTAGAATACAGAGAAAGTCAAATACCAGTTGTAAAAAAGGAATATACAGCATTTTCTTTACAAGCATGTGTAATTTTATATTGAAAATATTAGTTATACATGATATTTTAATCAATTTATTACTTGAGAAGTCAGCCTTATTTTCTAGCAATATTGCTTAGTTGCTGTTTTGTCGTTATTTTTATAATCTTCTCTAAGTTTTTAATAGATAAATACCCGAGTGTCATTAACATTATTTTACCTATACTGCAAATAATTATGGTTTTGATTTAAAGTGTTGATTATGTCTTTAGAGAGAGCAATCCAAATAATATATATAATTAAACTTACGACTGGTATTATGGCTTTTGTGCATGTTATTTTCATATGGGTATATTTGTCATTGTTAATTAGCTATATTTATTCAAGGGTATTTATTGTTGTCACAAGCTTTTATTGTTATAGGATTATTGCTTGTCTACATTTTATGGGCTTACAATTCCTCTAAAGTTTATATAAGTCTTTTGTTAAGTTTTCTCTCTATAATTGTTGGAATAATTGCAATCAAATATAGCATAGAGAATAATAAAAGGCAATAATTTTTACATAATAGAGAGAGGAAAAAATGGTTTGCAGTAATATAATTAAGAATTTTTAGATAATTGATACAGTCTTAGAACAATCCATTATAGTTATTAAATTAGATAAACAACAAGATTAATTAAGAATACATTAGATGAATAATATTACAAAGGAAATTTTATAAGTTAATAATGATAATGATTTAAGAACAGTTTTAAGAAATGTAATTTATTATAATAATTCTTATAGCTAACTTATTCAAGAGGATCAAAACTTTCTGGTGAAGATAACAAATGTTCACTTGAAAAACATATTAGAATGATGTTATAAAGTAACACATCCTCTGGTTCTGCATTTGAATTAAGAAAAAAAGGATCATAAGATAAATTAATTAATTCATTAATTTGTCAATCCAACATATTAGAATATTAATTCAAAGTCTAAATTGTTAATTACTGGACTGATGAATAATAAATGGTCATCATGGCTACTGAATGCTTAAATAATAATTAATAAAATCATGATAAATTAGAATTAAATCTAAAAAACAGACTTATTACTTCTTTGGCAAAACATTGTCTAAATGTGTAATTTAAAGAAAAAAATGATAGATTTTCTTAATTGTAATGTATGAATTACTTTGTATGTCTAAATATTCTATAGAATCCTAATATTTTAAATGGAATTCATATAAAAAAATACAGTTCAGAATAGGTTATAAAATTGTTAAAATCTGTCTTTGGAATTCATTTGGAAATTATTAACAAATTAAAAATATAATATGTAAACCTAGATTTAAATTCAGTATTACTTATCCTTATAACATTACTATAATTTAGAGAAAAAAAAAATGGATATATAAAGATATCATCCAAAATTAATGAAGATAATATTGAATCTATACACTTTACCTTGATGTAATCTACTAAATAGATTATTCCTTAAATTAGAGTTTATTTTACCAAACCTTTATTTTTTTTTTTAAAATAGGACAAATCCACAAACTTATCCCATCTATAATAAAATTTATTACATTTAGATAAGAAATTAAATTGTTAAGATCCATTAACAGCCACAACTTTAATCATTATGAAATTTTTATTATGGCATTTTGGTTGTAATACATAAATTAAAACTAAATAAAAAAATAACCTTACTTATTTTTCATTTTCTTTGCTTAATTAATGATTATAATAAATTTGTTTATTAATAATTTTACTGTTTTAATTTATTTGATATAGTAAACAAAAATTTAAAGTAAAAGATAAATCTTAAATGATGAAATAATCAATAAAAATTCTAAAAAAATTTCATTCTTTAAAATAAAAATGAAAATATAGTATTTAAATTTCTAATGAACTGATGAATGAATAACCAATAATCAATAATGCTGTTAATTGAGAAATTTTATTAAATATATAGTACTATAATTGATTAGCTTACTGTAATTTGTTTTTGAACAATTCAATATACCATCTTAAGATAGTGTAGATCCTTTCTAAAGTTATTAAAATGTACTCTAATATATCCGCTATATATTTGTTTTACTTTTAATAAGTGTTATAGGGGCAGAAATAAATTAAATTTTAAGAAAAAATGTAGTAAATTAAAGTAAGTTAAAAATTTATTTAAATTTTAGATGAAAATTATAATAAATTTTTCTCAAAATAAAACAATGTAAAATTTGAAGTAATTTATAAATTAATTTTAGTGTTAAAATATTATTACTTGTAATATTATTTTGTTGCTATTGATTTATTTTAACAGAATAAATATTTTTTATATTTTAAAGTATATAATAAATTTCATTTTCAATTTCTGGCTTTGAAGTATTATGGAATTACATATGTATTAGGTTGGTAGATTTATTATGGTTGAACTTCATGAGCTGAATATCTATTCATTAGATTTTAGTGAACTGGTCTTGCTGCTTTTGCAGATTATTAATATGTTTAAATTTTATCAATTATACTTGTATTAAAACTTCTTTCTTTTGGTGATTAATCAATAATAGGTTATCTATATATTTTAGGTGAGTAATCAATAATTTTTTAATAATTTATTAATTATTCTTCTCTAGTAACTGGTTATTTTTCTTCACTTTTTAATCTAACTTCCATAGTTGGTTTATAAATAGTAGGTTATTATTATTATTATTATTATTATTATTATTATAATAATTATTATTATTATTATTGTAAACCAACTTATTTAAAACTAGTTTCTTAATATTTTAAAATTCTATTTTCTAATTCATTAACATAATTATCTTTTTATTTAATTTAATTTTTTAAAATATCTAATTCTTTTTTAAGATTATTTATTTCTTCTTCTTAAAATTTAATATGTTTCTAATAATAATCATTTTTTTAAACAAAATGTTAGCAATCATAACATTTTTATGGTTATTATGCTGTATTTCTTTCTTATAAAGGTTTCATATCAGATTTGAAACCAAAAGTAATTTCTTTCAAATTTTCATTTTTTTTATCTAATTATTATTATTAATTAATAATTTCTTATTTGAATTATTCTTATCTTTTTTCTAATTTAAGTAATTCTTATTTTAATTCATGTTTTAATTCATCTTCTTTTTATGGTTATTTATTATCAGATTTTTTATCATATTATTTTTAATCATTTCTATTATCAGGAGTTCTAGATTCTGTTCTTATTTTCTATTCAGATTATCTTAGATCTAATTTAAGTTCTTATCGAATATCTTATTTATGATCAGATCTATAAAGTAGATCACTAAGTTTGTAATCCTTTCCTTACTTTGTAGTTTCAATTTTATTTGATTAATACTCATTTTAAAATTATAAAGAAGAACTAATTTAATTAGAAAATTAAGAGACATTTGTAACTTATTGAGATTATCTCATAGCTGATGGTGGAATTTATGAACTCTTCATGGCACTTTATGGTTAATAGGTAACAGATTATGCTAATTGATAGGATTATCTTAATTCATTATTTTATTTATAACTTGGCCTCTATTTATAATCTTATTCTGATGATTAAGATACATATGATCCTTAATCAACAGTCATTTATTAAATTGGTTTTTGTATTTCTTAATTATGGGAATAGACAAAAACAATATTAAGACCTGCACAGATTTAGCCATCTACTAAATTTACTTTACTTAATTAAATCCTATGTGTTTATTATTATGAATAATTTTCAGGCATTTTATTCATTCCAAAAACATACCATCCATCTAAACATTTCAACATAGCAAAGTTTTCTCCTGAAATTACTTATGATACTCTCTATCCATCCTCTAATTTACATAATTCTTCTAATGGAGTGCATTTTCTAGCATAACCCCAACTTCCAGTCCCCCAAAAATAAATTTTTCCTTATTTACTTATTACACAACTAAATGTTCCCATAGATGCTATCACCTATTGTACTTCAAAATTTAATTATAATTTAATAGGCTCTCTAACTACTTATTCAGATACTCCACATTATCCAAATAAATTATTCCCTGTAACAAAAACCTAAATATTGAAACTCAATTTTACTTGTCCTTTATATAAAAATAAAGAATGATCCAATCCTGCAGCCATTTATTCAACAGGAATACTCAATTTCACAGGACTTATATGTTATCCTAATACTCCTAATTATCCATTCTAATTCTCTCCCATTACATAACATGTTTCTCCATTTCTTACAAGAGTATGAAAACTACCACAACATACCTCTTAACCTTAAATGTTGAGTTCTGTTGGTTTTTCAACATTTTCTGTGTCTCCCAATCCTAATTAACCTTCTGAACCTCTACCCCAAACATATATTTTATTATCTCTTGTAGCTGCAGCAGAATGATATAAACCTGCTGTAATCTAAACGACATTCTTCATTACTAATTGAAATCCTGGTCCTGTTGAGCCTCTTTAACCAAATTAATTTGATCCATAACTATATACATTTCCATCTTAAGTTAAGGCTAATATATGAGATTGACCTGCACAAATCTATTTGACGTAACCTGGAATTGATAATTAAGTAGTTTCATTGAAATTAGGTACATTCCTAGGTGTTCTCAATGTTAATGATCCTGCACTTTCAAAAAGATCAGAGTCTTCATGATTTATAATACCATAGATAGTGATTTTTGAAGACATTAACGGAATGTTAAATATTTTATATAATAATTAATTATAATGGAAGATTAAAAGGCTAGAAAAATATAGAAGTAGAACTCTTTTTTTTTATTTTAGAGCTTGGAGATCATTTACCAATAGAAAAATATTCCAATATTACAAGGATATTATTTTATTTAAATGCAAGTAATGAATAACTGTTAATATTAGAGGAAACCCTGCTAGATTATTAAAAGCAATAAATCCAAATGAGGCACAATTATTAGATGCTGCTTGCAAATCACACATTAGATTTAGACTTGGTGGAGAAGTACATTATTTTCTTACTATTTTCCAGCAATTCCCTCCTATAATATATTATAAAATATATAGTCATGGTGGAATTGTAGATTTAAATGCCTTTGCTCCAAGAGATTATTCTTCACTTCAAAGAGATCCTGTTCCTCATGAAAAAGTAGCATATTCAGAATATAAAAAAAATCAATAAAAATATGATAATCAAGGATGGTATCTAAGGTTGGATAATAATGGATGGAGACCAGTTTAATATATTAATAATAATAGATCTCTAACAAATAAATGATCAAAGCAGATTTTGTTGAATTATACACAGCCAATAAAATTAGATATTATCATCATAAAAAAGACAAGAGAGAGGAAAAAGTTAATAAAAAAACAAGACTTAATAAATTGAAATGGGCTTAGAGTATTTAAAAATAAAAAGAGGGAACTCAATAATTAAAATAAGAGTAATAACAATAAGATTTCTTTACATAGACTAAATAATATTTAGAAATGGATGATGTATAATATATTATTATACTAAGGATCAATTTGATAAAGAAGTTTAAAATCTTATTGATTGGAGTGAAAATTTAGATTATGATAAATATATGGCAGAATGGTTTTAATTATCAACCTCTAATGCTAGCGAAAATTATGTTGTTTAATAAATTCATGTATTTATAATTTTATTTTTTTAGTAAACAAAAATTGATTCAGTCTTTAAAGGAACTTGACAACTTGAAAATATTCTCAGTAAATTAGTTCATAAATTAATTATTTCTTTGTTCTTGATTTCGATGTTAAAAGCAACTTTAAGGTCTTTTTAAATTATTATCATATTGATTTGCACTCCAAATACTCATTGTTTTAAATGTTTCTTTTAACTCCATTTATTCTTTCAATTAAACCTAACAAGCCTTAAAAATATCATCACAAGTTTTTTATCTTGACTAAGAAGGAGTAGCAGATCTTATTCTTTATGTTCTTTATCCTTAATAAAATGAAGTTTAAGTATATTAGCAACTTGAAGTCTTTTAGGTAGGGGTTTTTGATCTAGTGGAAAGAGGTATCTGCCCCAGTTACATTATGTAATGTTTTCCTTTGATAATATCGTAGACTTTATTCTTTGTATAATTGATAAATCTTCCTTTATTGTTTAAAAAATGTTTGACTGTTATCGGATTTATAGTTTATGCTTTAACTTAAATACTTTTTCTTTATTTTTCATTCTTAAACAATTTGTTATAAAGATGATTTTAATTATAATTTTCTAATTTATTAGGAGATAATCTGCTAGTTGTTCCAAATTTATATGAAATCTTGCTATAATCCAGATCTATTTATTTTTTATAACGTGCTAATTCAAAATCCTAGTTATAATTTTGATAAAAACAGAATTCATTATTCATTTTATTTCAAAATTATTATAATCTATGGCTCTATAATCATTGAAAATATGATGAATTAATTTAGATGTAACAAATAACACAACTTTGATTAGAATACAAAGTTAAATTTAAAAACAATGTATAAATTTCATAATCTAACTTTAACTATTAAATTTATCAACTAAAAGTTTAATAATTATAATTAAATTTCTAATATTTCATTTAAAAAACTGAGATAGATTGACTTAATTTTAAAAGCTTATCAAAAAAGTTTAGATTTACTAAACAAACTTTAAAATATTTATAGAGTATTATAGTAATACTACTAAGAACACAATTAAGATTTAGATAATTTAAAAATTCTTCTAATTTTGTTAATAAATTTTGTATAATATTTATTATCATATTTCCAAATATGTAAAATTAGGTAAGATAGTTTTATAATTAAGTAAAATTTATTTATAGATCTTAAAATTTATCTCTAGAAATTTATTAATATGATATTTAGATAGAATTTATGATATATTTATCATTTTACTGTAATTTTTCTTAAAGGAATAGTTAAAATTAGTATAAAATAATATAATAATTTCTAACTAAATAATATAGCAATAATCATAATGTTAATCTGATCATTGTGGGCAAACGATCCCATTTTCTTTCTGAACATACTAAATTTTCATCAAAAATAAATTTAAAGTAAGGAAAATATGATGTTTCATTAACTCTATGGAAATAAGATTTAATGATACATTTGAATGACATTGAATTATTCTTCTAAATTTTTGTTTATAAACAAATTTTATGGATTAAGCAATTGAACAACTTCATTATAACTAATATTTATTGGTCGTGTTGTCTTTTTGATAATTACATTAGTTTTCTTTTTTTTTCTTTCTTATCCCTCTTAAGAATCATTAGTTGATAGAGATCCCATAGAATCATTCATGTAATTAACAGTTAGATATATAATAAAAATATTAATCAAATTAAAAGTCTCAATGAAAACAAACTATCGTTCAAGTTTAACCAATCGAAATCTTCATCTCCAGTTTTGGATATTTATTTCAATTTCTCTCTTGTTGTTTTACCTCTAAAACTTATAAATAATGAAATACGTTATCCTTAAGAATACGTGAAATAAAAAAAATATAAATACTACTAAGGAGGCTATGATGACAGGTACTAAAAATAAAATAACTAATATCTTTTAATCCTAATAGTCATTGACTGTAGAAAGACATAATAATGATGAGATTACTACTGCTAATGCAAATGCAAAAATTGATATTAGGAAGCTAAAGAAATATCTTTACATATTTTCTATATGTACCTATAATTTCTTTTTCCTATACAATTATTAACAAAAGGACAATGATGATCAAAAACTAATACACAATTGTTACAATCACTAAATAATAATATATAATATACCTACAATGTGATGCTCTAAGAGGTCTGTATATGTCACATGTATCACAATGTCTGGAATCTTAAAATTCCTCTAAGAAGTAATTGGTTCCAACTCTTAATTATAATTATTTCTTAGGAATAATGCCTGGTTCAGTTATGGATGTGAGAACAAGGAATGTAATACTTGTAAATTACAGAAATATTGTTAAGAATGGTATAGTTGGAGATATATCCCAAGTCTTAGTCCAAGTAGATAAATAGAAGGGAATTGGAAATATTAAAAGTAATCCCCAAACAAATAAATTAGCCTAATCTTATTTTTTTAATTATATACTAGTATGTCTGTTTTAGGTCCAATCATGATACGACCTTGAAAAAGAATTCTATTATTGCTTTGCCAATATTAGTACAAAAAGTTGCTTTTAAGGGTCTCCATTTCCATATAAAAGAATAACAAAATAATTTACTCTAATAAATTTTATAATGAATAATTTAACAATAATTTATTCAGGTATTAAAAATTTTATATAAAATAAATTCAAAATGTAAATAGATGAATTGCCGGTTGGGTAATCAAAAAAGAATTTTATGTTAGAGGAGTTTCCACCAGGTAATATAGCTATTAATCAATTAGATTTTGATCCTCAATAATAAGAGAAAGTAGATTTACCATTAAAGTAACGAATTAAATCTAAAGTTTGGAAAGTAAGGCTTTAAGCTTATGAAGAATTAGTAAATGACGAAGAGGTAGATTGTGAATGTGTTCTATCTATAATATAAGATATTCATATTTAATGTTAAGAGAAAGCACTTTAGATAGCATAAAAATATTTTGAAAATCATAACTAAATAGAGTCTTCATAATAAAAAGAAATAATTAAAGTTTTATTAGAAAAAGTGTTAACTCAATAAAAATTAAAATAACTTGGTTATTCTGTTGCTAATTAACTTTTTCCTACTTGTAAATCAGCTATTTTTGAAATCATAATTTAATAATTGATGCATAAAAATCCAAAAGTTGTTTAAGCTACAATAGCTCTATTAATAGAATTGCTTTAATAATTTGGTCTTAAAAAGTTAGATAACTTAAAGCCATTTTTTCCTGTTATGTCTAAATTAACTGAGGCTTAATAAAGCACTGTTAAGGCTGATGCAATTGCATTTTATAAGGAAGTAACAAAATGGTATGGAAAAAATATTGAAGCTTTTTTTGGAGGTTTAAATGAGAAATTGTAATAAGATTTAAAAAAATTGGCTGAGACTATCACTGAAGTATAAAAGGCTCCAAATCAAGAAGGAGAAGCTGATACAAATAATTAAGAATTATATGATTTAGTTGAAGCTGTTGAAGTATTTTCAAAATATACAGATTCTTGGTGTGAGAAAGTATTTTAATTAGAAAAATGGTAAGAAAAGAAAGAATAATTAGATAATCTATAGAAATCCTGTTCTGTACCTAAAATATTATAATCTCCAAATATATATTCAGTTGTATAATTATTAAAGAAACTATTAAATGAATAATAAATGATTATAAGTACTTAATGTATAAAGATAATTGGATGTATGGCTAATGGTTTAAGAAAGAATTTTAATTAATATGCTAAAATAATAATGCTTCCAGTTTTGAATAAGTTAAAAGATAAAAAATAAAATATTGTAGATGAAACTATAACAACAATTAAAAAACTGTTTTATAGTTGTAATCTTGATGAATTGTTTGAAGAATTGAAAGCTCTATTGGATGACAAAGCTCCAGGACCAAAAGTTAATGTTTTTATAATAGTTGATTATTATATAGATGAGACTTCTAAAGAAAAATTGACAAAAATTTAATGTATTAAATAATTAGTTCCAATATGTAAGAAATTGACAGAAGATGGTAATGCTGATGTGAGAGCAAAATCAATCATGTTATTAGCCAAAATATCTGCTAAATTATATAATGGAGTCATGGTAATTGATTTGAAAGGTGATAAATACACAAAATATTAGAATTAAGTAAATATATATATGGAAGGAATTAAAGCATTATCAGGAAAAGATATTATAGAATAATAATAATAATAATAATTAATACCTAATAAAGAAAATTTATTAATATAACAAACAACAACAATTGCTAATTCATAAAAATAATCATTATAATAAAATATAAATAAACCACTTCAAATCAATTAATAAAATACATTTGAAACTTAAGATCTATAATATTCTACTACTATGACTCCAAATTAAGTTGATGCCTTCTTAAAATAATATAAATCAGCTAAAAATAAAGATTAAAATGAATTAGGAAATATTTTACTATAAATTACATAACAATCTAAATATATTTTAAGTACAACTATGGAATTTATTATTGATAAAATGGCTGAGTAAAAATCATTATGTCATTAATTATTTGATAAATGTGCTTAAATTTATAAACCTAATCATTTATCATAATTAATTAATACATTTAAAAATGCATCAACTTAAAGTTAACTTATAGAAATACTTAATATTTTATTAAAATATATACCATAAAGTGAAAAAAATATTGATTAATAAATCATATCTGAATTTCTTAAAAACTATTAACATTTATCTAATCTGAAGACAAGATCCTTAGTTTAAGAATGCCAAAATGCATTAAAGTAATTATTTGAACCTAAAAAAATCTAATCAGAAGAAAAACCTATTATACCTTTTCCATTAAATACATTTAGTGATTAACATTTTGAAAGAATAAAAGAATAATTAAAAGTCCCTTAAATTCCTTAAGTTCTCTATGAAAAGATGTTTAGTTATAATATATAATAAAATTAATTAGCAGCTGCTTATATTAAAACAAAAATACCATAGCCTGGAGAATTTAGTGAAATATTTTTTAAATGGGCTTATCTGATTTCTTGGATGAAAGAAAATATTCCTTTACAATAAGAAATTTCATAATTATTCTAGATTTTAATAAATAAACATAAACCTACATTCTAAGAATAATAGATAATATTTTCATATATTAAAATGATGATCTTAGTATATTTTAGAAATGGTGTTCCTAAATTAGCATAAAGAACATTACCATTATTAATGAATATATTGAGTGAATATAAAAAATATTGTTTGTAATAGCCTTTATTAATTTCTTTTGAAGATTTTGATGAATAATCTAATCAACAAGCTAATCAATTGATACAAATTATGTCAGAGAATGCAAACGATTGGAATATAAATAACACTATATAATAAAAATAACTTATTGCTTAACTAATATCTTTTATTTGGAAAGAAGAAAGTGTTATCATTAATAAACAAATAGTTTAAGCAACTCCTTAATAATTCTAACACTCTTAAATAATTTAGAAACCTCAAAATAATGATAATAATTAATATGAAGATTAAAATTAAAATTTTTAAAGATTTAATCATTTATCTGTTGTAGAATAGTTAAAACCTGAATAAACCAATTCAGAAAAGAAGAATTTTCAAGCCAAAAGTATACCATTCATTGGAATCCCAAGTATCTCATAAATTAACTCTCAAATTAATAGTGGAAATAAAAATCTAATTCAGTAACAATAAAATATTCCAAATTAAATGGAAATTGAATTTGATTAGAATGCTAGAATATTTTAATAGCTTTATTATAAATATAGAGAAACAAATACTTTTGAAAATCCTCAATTATTAGCAGATTAGATAATATTTTTGTTAAATAATTTCATTAAAGAATAATCATGTGATAATCTTAATTAATTATTAGAAAAACTGATTCATATATTATCATCAGGATAATTTTTGAAATTTATATCATATGATAAATTTTATATCATATTTGATATATTGATATTTAAAATGGTAGAAGAATCAACAAAAGTAGGCAACAAAGATGGAGCTCAAAAAAGTTGCTATAGTTTTATTAATCAAAATTTAATAAAGATTTTAAATAATTAAGAATTATCTAATTTATATTTAGCTTTTTTAGATATTTTAATAAAAGTGAAAGAATCAGATAAGCAATCAAAATAATTTTATACTTTAATTACAAAATGTTTGAGTAAATCAGTTGGATAAGTTAAAAGCTAATTTTAGTGGCAATAATTATAAGCAATTTTAGAAAAGATGAATAAATATTTGATACTATGTTAAAAACCAGAATCTAATTTAGAATTTTAAGAATCTCAAGATTTCCTATTAAAAGCACTTAAATCTACAGTGATTTATTTATTGCATTTTAATGATGGTGTTAGAGTAAGTTAATGTATTATGTAATTAACAAATGAGAAATCAATTTTAAGAAATTGGTTATTAGAATTATAAGAAAATAATTTAGCAAAATAAAGAAGATCAAGGGATACTCACATAAATTAAATTATAGAATTACTTAAAATTGATTTTGATAAAACTGTAGAATAATTCGTTTCAATAGTGAGAAGACAAAATATTCATTGGAAACCTTTGGTTGAATTTTTGAGTTAATAATAAATAAAATTCATTGAATTAAGATTAGAATAGACTAATCATATGAATTTATTAGAGAAAAAAGTAGGA